AAAATACAGAAAAAAACTGTAATATTGTGAAATATTATTATAATTTAAAATCACTGTTTTCTATTTGAATATTTTTTTTAAAAGTAATTTATTCCTGTGATGCAAAGCTGAATTTTCAGCATCATTACTCCAGTCTTCAGTGTCACATGATCCTTCAGAAATCATTCTAATATGCTGATTTGCTGCTCAAGAAACATTTTTATTATTATCAATGTTGAAAACAGTTGTGCTTTTAAATTTAAAGTTATAAAATCTTGTATAAACAGATATAAAAAAAATTCAGGATCCTTTGATGAATATAAAGTTCAAAAGAACAGCATTATTTGAAAAACATCTTTTGTAAAGTTCTAAGTATCTTTACTGTCACTTCTGATCAATTTAATGCATCCTAGTTAAATAAAAGTATGAATTTCTTTCAAATAACCTTATTGACCCTAACTAAACCTTTGAACATTTTGTGTAATGTAATGCATTTTTAAAGTATTTTTAATGCATCTTCATTGATTCATAGTGCATTATAATACACATTTTACTACTTTATATTTATAAAAATTTGGACAGTATAATTCATTATAACAAATAAAAATAGTTTTTGGCAATGTGTTTTAATGCACTGCACATTTTTTTCAAACTCTTGAACAGTAATGGATGTGTGTCTGCATGAATGTTTCACCTCATTTTTGGGTGCTGCTGGTTTGCTCGTCTCCTCTTCAATACCATCGAGCTCAAAGTCATCTGGTGAATATTTGCATCTGGGAGTGTAGGCTTTATATTCCACAACTGGTTTGGGTTTGGGGCTGGTGATTCCATTAGGCATGGGTGGCGCCTGAGCCGGAAGTGCCCTCCTGGGTTCATTGGAGCCTACTTTGGGTACGCTTTCTGGCACAGGAACCTGTGCAGGGGTGGTGGCCGGGCTGGGCGAGACCGATGGAGCGTCGGTCTCCTTGGAAGAACCAGCCTGACTCGCCTGATCCGACTTCAGCTTCTTAACACGGGTCCAAGTCAACTTATCCCGCTGAAGCTCCACCTGCCTGAGCCTCTGATAGCGGGAGAGTTTCTTCTTCTCCTGGGTCTTGAGCGGCAAAGACACCTGGCTGAGGAAAAAACGTTTCTTGGGCGTACCATCCTCAGCTTTGGGATCATCAGTCTCAACACTAGAAGTTTCGGGGGGTGCGGCGTTTTCAGACGCCTCTTTTTCGGTTTCGCAAACCTCTGTAGATTCACTCGCCTCCTGTTGTTGCTCAATATTTTTCTCATCTGAAGTTCCCGGAGCATCGGATGCAATATCATCTGCGATTTCTTCACAGAGAGCAAGGAGGTTGAGCTGTCGAGGTGGGAGTTTCTTAGCGGCAGCCGCCCTTTCTTCAGCTAAAGCCGCCAGACGTGCCTTCGTCCGAGCCTGCGGGTTCATGGCCTGCTTTTTAGGAAGCCCTTGCGAGGAGTCCGTCGCACTTTCCTGGGGCAAAGAGGGCGAAGAAGTGACCTCCTTACACGTCACAGCTTCACCTGTTTGTTTTTTCACTGTGTCCTCCTCCTCCAAATCCTCATAAGTTTCGATCTCCACCACACAATGTTCAATCTCAATATCGTCATCCAGAAATGCTTCCGCATCCGGGAGAAACACTTTTGCCATGTCGGTACTTTGTACGCTGTCCTGCAGGGAACACGTGTTCACGACTTCTAACTCATCCATGTCGGAAATGTCTTTACCGGCGAAGGAGTGTTTCGTGATGCTGGTTTCTTGGATGACTTTGAAAAGCGCCTCTAGAGGTGGAGGAGATTTGCTCATCACATCTACTTTTGCATCCACACTCACTGTGATTTTCTCAATAGGGTCTGTCGGAAGCTCCTTATGCTCTTCGACTTTGCTCACTCGCGGTTCGTGAAGCGACTGCAGATCGCTTATATTGGCCACGTGAATTTTGTCAGGTTTGGGTAACGTTATCTCCTCACTTTGAAGGTCAAGCAATCGTCCATAATTGTGCTCTATTTGCACAGGAAACAAGGTTGCGACTGTTTTAATTGTTTCAGAGATGGATGGCTTTTCTTTCTTTACTCTTGAAACATATTTCTTGTCTCCTTTCTTCAAGACAGACATATTTTGAGATTTTTTATCTCCAGAGACTTTCGGCTTCCCCTCATCTTTCCGCCGCCTTCCTCTTGTGCTTTTCTTTTGTGGCGTTTTCAAGCGAGACGACCGTCGAACAGGTTTTCCATTTTCTTCCCTCGGCTGTGCTTTATGTTTCTGCTTAGACGACTGAGTTTCCAACGCTTTGTTTTTTGGAGGTCTTCCTCTCAAAGACTTCTTGGGCATCTGAGTTTTATCTGACTCCACGAGACTTTGATCTATCTTTGTTTTCTTTACTTCAGGTTCAGAAGAAGGCATCTTTCTTTTCTGCCCAGGCATCCTAGGGAGAAATGACAAAGCAAGTTACATGCAAGTACAAAACCAATCATTTCTGTTTTTAAATAAATTAATATGTGATTGTGTTTGCTTCAAAACAAATCTTCGTGTAAAATCTATTTAAGTACCAGTAAGTAATAAAATTAAATATAAAAATCTTGCAGAAGGAAACAAAAATCAGATAAACAGAAATACTGAATACAGAAGATGAGCAGCTGTCATCCATCATAACGGATTTCTTAAGTGACAGCTGAGGCAATTTACTGACATTTAACTTACAATAAACGCTCCTACAATCTGTAATAACAATAACACTATTATCTATATTCGTAGTGTATTAAAATAACGCAACATAAATAATATATTCTTAATTTTTTAACACACATCGACATGTCAACAGCTCAGATCAGAGTCTCTGCTTCTCCAAAGATGAGAAGTATGAAGTAAACATGAGTTATTTATTCTCATTTCCAGTGTATAATAACATGCTATGATGATTTGAACAGTAGATAAAAAGCATTAAATAAATTATATTTTTCAAGTGTCTCATCAGTCTGACGTCGAGAAGAAAGTTAGCAGAGCTGGCTAACCCCGTTAGCTGTCTCCTTATAAAGCCAACGACATTCACTACTGTCGACTATATATTCCAAATAAGTAAATAAGACTAACATATAACTATTATGGCAGGTAGAAAAAGAAACGGCAGTGATAAAGTACAGTGCCGAACTTACCTATCTTTTCCTGTTTCTAAACAACAGCTGTTTTCCGCTGTGTGGCGCAAAGTTTAGCCTCACTTCCGGTGCTGAGTCTTCTTCGGCGAATCTGCTGTGTTACTCACGAAGAAGGAATCTTTCCTGCATTCCATACCTTGTTAAAAAGATTTAAAATAATTTTTAAGGATCTATCTGATAAATGTTGAATCATTATATAACATATATCATCTCTTCCAGGAGATGTATAGAAATATTCTTCTTCTTCATTGGAGTTTTACGGCAGTTGGCACCCATAGTGTTGCATTACTGCCAGATAGAAATATTGTATGATTAAACGACACCTACTGGACTAGAGGATAGATAGAAATATTCTTCTTCTTCTTCTTCTAATAACGTTTTATGGCGGATGGCAAACCAACTTCTGGTGCATTTACCGTATGATTAAACGACACCTACTGGACTAGAGGATAGATAGAAATATTCTTCTTCTTCATTGGAGTTTTACGGCAGTTGGCACCCATAGTGTTGCATTACTGCCAGATAGAAATATAATTTCACTATTTACCTATAAAGTAGAAAATTCTTATTGCTTTTTAAAGTTGAATTATTATTATGTTTTAACGTGTGTGTATATATATTGTTATAGTTCTAATATATTATATATAACATTATAAATTGCTATGTATATATGCGTGTAAAATAATGTAATTTTTTTGAAAATATTCATATTTAAATTAATATTTGATTACACACACACATATATATAATGTTATATAATGTTAAATTATTATTATGTTTTAACGTGTGTGTGTGTGTGTGTGTATATATATATATATATGTTTATGTGTGTGTGTGTGTGTGTAATATAATGTATACATTCTTTTTCTAATTATATAATGTATTTTTTTAAATAAAAATATTAATAATAAATTAATAATTTTCATAATAATAACTATTATTTTTAAATTAATGTTTGATATTTTCACAAATATAGTGCAATTCTTTTACCTATTAGAGTTACTCTATCCAGTTGCATATAAATAAAAAATATAATATAATATAATATAAAGCAATTATATACACAGTTTCGATTCTTATGTACAGTCTATCGGTTTTTCGTTCTTAATGCAGTTTTGGCCACTAGATGTCAGTAACGCTCTTCTGATTGGCCGCAGCTGAACTCCCAGAATCCTCCGCGAGGCGCGGAATCCGAATATTTACATGATGGAACAGAAATATCAGGAGTTGTGATACGCGCATTTCTCTTTATAATATACTTGTTTTATTCTTATGCTCGGATACATGTAGCGCATGATGTCGTTATGTCTGTTTTAAGTGGATGTCTCTGTATGTGTGTCTAGTTCTCCGCAGAATGTGTCTTCTGAGGCCGAGGAGGGGATGATCCCAGACTCTCCTCACCGTCCGCTGTCCTTACCTGTTGCCAGCAAGATGAAACGACGGAAAGAGCAGAACCACGTCCGCTACGCTGAGACACCACTATCACTCTCATACCCTGGTAAGACACTCATGAGAGGCCTCTGGCCTTCATTCCTAATTCCCAAAATTCCTTTTTGAGATTTGAAAGTATTGAGAGTTTTAATTATTACGTATATATACAAATTGTTATTCACTAATTTAGCTATTTGAACTAATATATATATATATATATATATATATATATGTGTGTGCGTGTGTATATGTGTGTGTGTGTGTGTGTGTATATATATATATATATGTATTAATTTAATTATTTTTTATTTAATATAAAAATGACATACTTTGTTTTATTTTTAATAATTTGCAGAACCCAGGCGAGAAGAGCCATCTGTGCCCTTCAGCTGTAATGGCAGAGGTGTGTTGGTAGCTGAGACATGTGAAATGGATGTCACTTGTATTGCAGGTATTATGAGCTGATTTTCATCTAGAATTTATATTATTAATACATACATATTATGTCTAACCATAACCAATAAGTTAACGGTCAATGTGAGTTTAAAGGTATTTTTCTTAAAACAAATGTAAATATGCATCTGTTAAATATTTTACACTTAAATTAATTAAAATTTAGTTTTTTTTTTGTTTTTTTTTGAAGCCGTATGTTTTAGATGATGTTCTCTGTAAGGATAACATGAGTGTGTTTTTATTTTAGAGCCTCAAACAAAGAAACATTTCAGGACTGTGGTTCCTGAGACCTGCCGGATGGACGTCTGTCCGGAACAGGTTTTGCCTTATCTTCATCAATAGTTTGACACAATCTCAGTTAGGGCTGCACGATTAATCGAATGCGATTGTCATGCGCATTTTGTTAGTAAAGCCGGTTCTGTAATCAGCAGTAAATGATCATCACGTGCTTTCAGATGGAGCAGAATTTACTACACATAGCCGTAGTTCACTGACAAGTTACGCAAAAAAATCGCAGACGATTTTCAGCTGTGCATTTTGAAGATGACCATGCTTAGTTATACATGGAAAACCTCTATGGCAGTTTTTAGAAGTGTGTGTTCACATGTCAAATGTGTTTTCCCTCCAGTTTGATGATAAAGATGATGATGATCTTCACACTTCACCACACTCTGAACGAAACCAACAACCTGAGTCACACGACTGCACAAACATGTAAAGAGACACTCTTAAACCCAAATAAACTTCCTTCTGAGCTCTTAATAATGACCGAAAGATATCTGGAGCAAATACTTTATAATAGTAGCTATTTTTTCCAGAGTCACTGCAGTCCAGAATGATGAATCGCCGTCCGTTTTGCATTGCCATCCGTTGGGTTCTCGAGAGCAGCAGCCGCCTGCAGACGACTTTCCCAACACACCTTCAAACACCAGCACACGTGTGCCAGTTAAAGGGAAGAGAAAACATAAGGATGGCAGGAAAAGAGAGATTTCTGATTCCAGCCTGGATGATCCTGATGAAACCGAAATCAAGGGGATGATGTTGGCTTCCACTCCAACTAACAATCGTATACAGAACAAGAATCAGGAAACAATGGTTAGACACAGTCAGACTGCAGCAAATCAGCTGATTTACCCATTTCAAAACAGTTTTACATAAAATAGATAAAATTAAAACGCATTTGAGTTGATTTGAACTGTTATATTTGTAGGATTCAAAGAAGAGGAAATGTTTGGACCAGCACACGCCTCGCAAATGTTCTCTTCAGAACCAAGACATGCCTTTTCCATACGGTAATACGGATCTATTATTAACAGTTTCCATTAATAGTTTTTGAGTAGTTCAGGTTGAATGGTTTTCCTGATGTTTTTTTATTATTTGGTCTTTATTTGTCACAGATCAGAGCTGGAGTGTTGATCCAGGAGCTGATCTGGATCAGTATGATACGGAGAGCTCTCCTCACCCAGAGGTACATATTTATACTACCATTTAAAAAGGTTTTTTGAAAGATTTTTTTTTGTAATTTTTTTGAGTAAAAAATTCATAGTTGTGAGATATAAACTCGCAATTCTGAGAAATAAAGTCAGAACTGCGAGATATAAACTCACAATTCTGAGAACGTATCAAGTCTATTTCCTCCCCTCAAAATTGCAACTGCAAGTTTATATCACGCAATTCTGACTTTATAACTCGCAACTACGTGTTATAAAGTCAGAATTGTGAAATATGAACTCGCAATTCTGAGAAAAAAGTCAAAATTGTGAGAGAAAAAAAAGTCAGAATTGAGAGATATAAACTCGCAATTGCGAGAAAAACAGTAATTCAAATTCTGACTCTATAACTCGCAATTCTGAATTTATAACTCACAATTACGAGTTTATATCACGCAATTCTGAGAAAAAAAGTCAGAATTGTGAGATAAAAAGTCGCAATAACCTTTTTTATTTTATTTTATTCAGTGGCAGAAACGGGCTTCCATACATAAGAGACTTCTTTCAAAACCATTAAAAAAAATCTTACTGACCCCAGACTGGTCAATTGGTTATTTTAGCTGTATGTCACTAAAACAAAAAGTAAAAATCTAAAAATATGACTTTTTTTCCCCAAATTGCTTTAGGCCAGAGCAGACATAGAAACGATGGACACTGACTGCACGTTTGTGAGTCACAGTCTCCTTCTGAGAGGCCAGAAGAGGATGGGACAATCCCAAACCACTGGTATGACATGAATGAACAACTGATCTTGTTTCTTCAGATTAATGTCTTAACCACCTGTAGACAACATCTACATGTGATTGATCAACAGGAATTGGGCAGAAGGCAAACGACAGCCTTGCTGACATCTTCGATAAGACAGGATATGGAGAATATGAGTCGTGTCCACAGGAAGAGAGTTTTGATCCTAAACGAGACGGTACATATGAGGAGGAGAGAGAGGAAGATGATAATGAGGAAGAACAAGTGGCAGCACGTAATGTTTTGTTTTCTGTTTCATCATTTCCAAAAAATTATTTCTCTTCAAATGACAAAGTCTTCCTGTATTTTTTTGTATTTTGTCCTTCTTCTTTTAAACCTTTTTAACAAACATACTGTGATTGTTCAGACGAATTCCGCCGGCCTGCAGACCCCGAACGAGTGACGTCCGACAATAATAGATCTAGCAGGTGAGTAATATATGATGCTTTTATTGGTAATAAATGTTCTTGTTGAGCTGCTTTGGAAAGACTTATATTGTGAAAATCACTATACAGATCAATTTAAATCATTGAGATACTATTATAGTTTTTTTTGTTTGAATGATTTTTTTATTTAGCATTTTTAGCAAGTTTTAGTAATTTTGTTGTGGTTTTTTTATGACTTTGTTATTAGTTATTATTTTGTAAATATGTCTGTATTGTTTTTTTTTATTTATTTATTTTAATTAATTAATTCAGGTTTTATTTTTAGTACATCAAGTTAAACTAAATGAAAATAAGAAATGTTACTTTGGCAACTACCTGAAATATTTCTTTATTTCAGTTATGTGTTTATTTTATTTCAAGTAACACGTTTTTTTATGGGTTTAGTTTTATTCAAGTTTTACCTTGGTTTGAAAGTATTTTTAATGTTTTTTCCATGCAAAGAACTTCAGATTGCAAAGCTTCAAATGCATATGGTGCTAAAAAAAATAGCGTCTTAAAGTCCACAAAACAAATGAATAAAAATGCTTCAAATCATAAAATTAATAGCAAAAGAAAATGATTCATAAAAGACATTTGTACATGTTTTGCTTTCTGTTCCCAGGAATAAGTCTTTTGCTTGTGTGGAAGTTGTGCGTAAGAAAGACGAAAGGAGAAAACTGAAAGGCCACTATTGTAAAGAGTGTGAAAATGTGAGCCAGTTTATTCACTATATGACCAAATCTCCTTCTTCTAAATAATGATACCATTGATAATTTACAATGTTGTAATTAAGAGCATTCTGTTGTTTCAGTACTATGCGGGCCTTCCAGAGGAAGAAAGACAGAAAAAACTGTCTTCCTGTTCACGTCATCGCTACCGCTACGTCCCACCTTCCACTCCAGAGAACTTCTGGGAAGTGGGTTTCCCATCAACACAGACCTGTGTGGAAAGAGGTACTGCATTGGCTTTTTGACAAATTGGTGAAATTAATTAAGAACTATATAACACTAATAATGCTACATTACATTTGTACATATGCATTGTTTCCCAGCACATACAGTGACTGAGACTTTTAATCTATAGACTTCCTGTGAAAGGAAGAATGACACGTTTCTTTGATCAATTTATCTTGGTCACTGAAGCGTTTAGACAGCATTCTTTGCTCTCAACAGGCTATATCAAAGAAGACGACCAGCCAGACGTGCGGATACGCAGGAGACGGCCGTACCTCGCCATGTTCTCACCGAAAGCCAAGTCACAAAAACATCAGCACTGAGTGCATCCGTTATAAGTTCAGATATGATTTCAAAACCACACTGGAACTAAATGGATGAATATGTAATTCTGTCTGCTCACGTCCTGAATTATAGCTGCTTATCTTATTTTACTTGTATATGTACTCTAAATTGTTTGACATTTTGTACACTTGATTTTGACTGTAATTTGTAAAAAAAAAATACTTTTATCCTGTAATAAAATAATAATAAAATTGTTTTTTTTTAAAGTGCATTTGTTTTCAGTACATCCAAGCATAGATTGTGCTAAATTATAGTAGCAAAATTATTTAGCAAACAGGATGGAGAAAATAATTATCTTGTTGACAATAAAAATCAGCTTTTTGCCTTTTATACATTTATATAATTGTAAGTTTTTCTATTCGGCATATAACATTCCGAATAGTGCATATTTTTAGGCCTTTATAGTTGATGGTAACATTAATATGATTTTGTAATTTTAATTTTAAAAAAATTGTTTAATTTGAGCTCTTGTTCTCTTGAAAATACTTTTTCTAATTTGGTGTTCCTGGTCAAAAATAACTGGCGTTGCTTGTATAAATTGCTTGTAAATCTCAGATTATGCTATATTATCACCAAATCTTGGATTCAATCTTTGTCAACTTTTCTGTCTATTACACGTTTTGTGTATTTTTAAAAAATGGCGAGAATTTTATAAGCAATTTTTGTTCAAAATGGGGGTTCAAAAAATTCATGAAAAATATCTTTTGAAAAATATCTATCTATAAAAACTACAATAGTATCATAATGATATAACACTGATGTAATTAACAGTAAGAAATATGAATAAAAGCTTGGTATTTTTCATTCTTAGTTCATGTTAACTAATACAGCACTAATAACACTAATATCCCAAATATACTGAGCATCATGAGCTTCATAGACTTCATCGAGAACTTGGTAGAGATATCAATAAAATAATTAAATATTTTCTAAACCAGTAGATTTGTGTGAATATAATTGTGCTTATATAATTATTCTGCAGTATTTATTTGGTGAGATATGCGTAATTGGACTGAAACCACAGATGACCCAACAGCAGGCTCTTCTGAGGAGAACAGCACATGTTTATGACAAGTGTTTCTACACAATCTAGATCAACTTTAAATAAATCTTTCAAACCACTAATTCAGATTAAAAAGTGTTAAATTAAAAGGTAGATATGGAAGAAAAAATGATTTGAAGTCTGAATGCCATTGAACGTGAAAGCTCTGTAAACAATGAAGTCATTCTAAAAAAAGGTAATACACTGTCTAATGTTTCTGTTCCTGTAGGATAGTTTTGATCAGTGCCAGAAGAGCTCCATACGGGATGTTTTCTGTCCTGCGCTATCGAGACTTCAGCCAGATCAAGTGAGTCCTGCTTCTATTTACATCAGATTTTGAAAACAGGTCATCTCAGACTGGTGTGTTGTCTACAGCGATCAAAGTTTAGACTGCGGCCGTCAGAAGAGCTTCAGCGGATGTGATTGGTCTCCATGCTGTTGAACCTGGAGCCAAGGGTAAGGTGAGGTCCACTTGACATTAAAACTACTGATTTGGTCTATTTTGGATTCTAAGTTTCCTAACTAATATTTAGTTTCTCGACCGTCAGACAGTGTCGTATACAAAACTTCTGTCTCACACTAATGCTTTGAGCGGCAGCAGCGTCTTCACACAGCATTCTGGGTCACAGTGTGTTTTGAGTTCAGCATGTAACGTCCTCGCTCAGACTGGAATAAAGAGAGGTCAGTGAGGAAGAGCTACATGTTCACATGTCAAATTCAACTTGCTGTCTTGTGTACTTATTTTAATAAATATTTAAATATTTAGTGTTTTTAAGTGACATCACTTTATATTCTATTTTAATTCTACTGTATCTATTTATCTTCTTTTTTTATAAAAAAAAAACACTAGCCGTCTATTTTTTCTATTCTATCTACTTGTTTTTCTTTGTGCGTGTATATGTGTGTGTGTGTGTGTGTGTGTGTATATATATATATATATATATGTATATAAAACCTTGCTACGTGTACTGCGTTAGGCTAACCGAGACTTGTCATTTGCACTTATATATTGTTGCTCTTTTGTTAGTTTTGACTGCTTTTATTGTCCTCATTTGTAAGTCGCTTTGGATAAAAGTGTCTGCTAAATGACTAAATGTCAATGAAAATATCAATTTAGGATGAAAAGAATTTACCTTTTTTTTCTAGAAAAAAAATAAAATAAAATAAAAAGTTTGACAATTGTAAAAGCAGTTCACAAATTAAAAATGAATGAATTTATAAGTAAAATCAGTTTAATATAAATATAATTTACAATTTTTTTTCCTGAATTTTTTTTCCTTTTTTTCTCTTTTAATCTTTTTTTTTAATTTCCAGAATTCCCTTATGTATGTATATTTATTGATGGATTTATTTACTTACTATTTTACTTATTCATTAATTCATTTTGAGATTTTTTTTCTTGAGTGTCAGTAAAAAGCAGTTCATAAATGTAAAATAAATAAATACATTTAACTAATACTAAGCTGCACATTAATTTAGAATGAAAGTAATTTACTTTTTTCATGAAAATGTTTCTTTTTTCTGTCCAATAATTTTTTTCTCTTTTAATCTTTTTTTGAAATATATATATAGATATAGATATATATAGATATAGATATCCAGAATTCCCTTCATTCATTCATTCATTCATTTTGTTGTTTTAATTAATCAGCATGTCAATTTGAGATGAAAAGACTTTACTTTTTTCTGAAAAACTTACTTTTTTATTTATTTTTTAGCTTTTAATAAAAAATAAAAAAAAGAAATCCCTTATTTATTTATTTTAACATGCATGATTCAAAGGGAAAAACATTTATGATTATGACCCAAATCTTCTGGATGATCCACAGTGGCCATGTGGGAAACACAAACGAATGCTTGTCTTTCCATCTTATCCGGTGAGAGCAAAATCAGTCGACGCACATGAAGCTTGTCATACAGGAACATATTTGTTCATAATGTTATTATAGTAACATTTTATGACAGTTTCACACCTGTTTAATAAATATACTAATGCTGCTAATGGGGGGAAATTATTCAAAAAGTTCATGAAAATTATCTTTGCCTAAAATCTTTATTTTGTATCTCATGGATGAAGGCCAGCATTTGAAACTGTTCAAAACAAGAAGCATTTTCTTCCTAGAGATGTGTATTGATTTTTTCAGACAACGGTCATTGAATACGTGAAGCCGTCCGACCTGAAGAAAGACATGAATGAAACCTTCAGTGAAAAGTTTCCACATGTTCAACTGACCCTCAGCAAAATCAGAACGTAAAGACTTCCGGTTACCCATCTTAAAAATACTAATATCTAGAAGCATTCAAATTGTATGTATTATTTTCTTTTACTGTGACATTCTCAGTCTGAAAAGAGAGATCCGTAAATTAGCCCAGGAGGAATGTGGGTATGAAGAACCGACGGTTGCAATGGCTTATGTCTATTTTGAAAAGCTCGCCCTGCACGGTAAACTGGACAAGCAGAATCTGAAACTTTGCGCCGGAGCTTGTATCCTCCTCGCTGCCAAAATAAGCAATGACCTCAAGAGGCCAGAGGTCAAACACCTCATAGATGTACGTAAAGCTCAGTGACATCAATATCTGCTCTCTGATTTCTAATTCAATAAATGATTCATTCAGTTCTCACTGTGGACATCCATTAGAGACTGGAGGAGCGACTGCGGCTGAATCGCAGGGAACTTTTATCACTGGAGTTTCCTGCGCTGGTGGCGCTCGAGTTTAAACTGCATCTGCCACAGCGTGAGATCTCACCGCACTACAGACGTCTCTGTCAGACCACCTGAAACCAGACCAGATCCTCAAAACCCACACCAGAACTCCTGGTGTTCAGTATTTAGATGCACTGTTTGTTTTGTAAGCTACACACCATGTAAATAAAGATATGTAATATTGCTTCTGTGTTCTATGATTTCATTTTATTTATTTTTTTGCAGAAAAATAAGAGAGAAAAAAATGGTCAAAAAAATGCTTTTATTTAATATCGTGCAAAAACTGATTTAAAATACTAAGAAAAGTTATTTCATAATAGAATATAATTCATGGGTCAATTTCATAATAGAAGCTTTAGAAATACAATATCATAAAATGTGGCTCCAAAATACAGTAAATGTCAATCAGTTCAAACAGAATAATCACAGTACTTTTTGCAGGTCTCAATTTTGGGAGTTATTTCTATATTTAAAAAAATCCAAATACCCTTAAAAATATTAGAACCGTCAACCAACCTGCAATAATGATGAATAATGTTAACATGGACAACAAACACATTGTACTAATAACACTAACATGTTTATGGTGACTGGCATTATGTAAAATAGTTTTGAAAACCTCAGAGTTATAGGGGCTCATGTACCAATGTTTTCCATATAGTACTGATGTACGGTGGGACAGTATTCAGGATATGATCCAGGGCTCTCAAAAGTAAACTCTGCAGGACAATGACGTGCAAAGGTTGAACACTTAACAGCAATTACAAATGTTGCTGTGAAAAAATGTGTAATAAGTGCAAAATCTAAATCAAGTGACTACAATAAACTGGCCATATTAAAATGCAAGACTAAAAGAATTATGGTAAATGGTAAACACCTGCTTTTTTCCTGCTATTTCTGGTTTAACATGTAACGATGGAAGCACGCTTTCACCACAGAATAAAAAATAAAAAAGGTAACGGTGACTTTTTATCCCACAATTCAGATTTTATGTCTTGCAAATCTGAAAACAAAAGTCAGAATTGTGAGATATAAATTCGGACTCTCAATTCTGAGTTTACATCTCACATTTTTTACATTTTTTCTTTGAATTCTGAGTTTACATTTTGCAATTTTTTAAAAATATTATTTTCACCACAGAATAAAAAATAAAAAAGGTAACTGCGAGTTTTTATCTCACAATTCATGACTTTTCTTACATAAATTGCAAGTTTATATCCTTTATATCAATTTTGACTTCTTTCTCAAAATTCTGAGTTTTTAACAGAATTGCGAGAAAAAGTCAGAATTGTGAGATGAAAAAAAAAAAAATAATAAAGATAGCAGTTTTATTAAATTTTTTTATCTTGTGGTGGAAACAATCTTCCATA